TTTTTATGTCTTTAAGGCAGTTATGGAGTTTAGTTAATTGATTACTTTCTTCTGGCTTCATCGATAAATACAACTGTGTATCATCTGCATAACAATGGAAATTTATAGAGTGATTTCTAATGATGTTACCTAAAGGAAGCATATATAGAGTAAATAGGATTGGTCCGAGCACAGAACCTTGCGGAACTCCAAAACAAACTTTGGTCTTCCACAAACTTTCAGAAAATGTGCACAAATATAGACGAGATGAATGGAGAGTACAAATGGAGGGCTCCGAGGCCTTCAGGATCTGTCCACACCAACACACAGCAACTGTTTCCTGTGAAGAGATCACAGACAAAGATTCAAGTAGACGCAAATTTGTGCTGTTTACATCTTTGATAAATTTGTGTGCCGCTGTGTGGTGAGAGCCAATCAGCAGTGAGATCTGTTTGAGATTCTTCTGACGTCACCAAGAGTCAGAAATGGAGGACATAGTTGTTTTTCTGTTTTTGGTCACCTGGAGCTCCACAACTTAACGTCAGTACGGGACAGGGGAGACGACTTGTATCAAAGGTTTAGTTTAGTGTTTGGTGGAAAAACGCTCTGACCAATCTCTTGTCTTTGTCTTGTCTTTTATTGTGAAAGGTAAACAACAGGAAGGAGTGACGCCGCGATGTGCTGAGTGAGAAATAATAAAGAGTGATGTCGTCTTTGTTCACACTGGTTCAGAGCCTCCATGTTCACATGGCTTGATTCCAGCTGTCAGTTGCAAACCAAGTTAGCCATTAGCTGCCTTCAACACTTGGTTAGTTAGCATAGCTGTTAGCACAGCACGAGTAACTTGGGTTATGTTGCGACAAAAACAAGTTCAGCCCAAATCAGATTGTTTTTGTTTTCATGTGACACAGATCAGATTTTTTATTTTTAATTGTTTAATTTTAAACACCATTTTCAGGCGTGGTGAGGCTGGATTAGGACAGTGGCATTAAATGCTGCTGCGTGGCGTGTCCAGGAGCGCCAGTGTGTGTCTAGCTGCTGCCGGTGTGGGGTTGTACATTAAAAATAATGGGCGCGTATGTTTTGACGTACGTCGGTTGGTTCCGGTGTGTTTCGGCCTTTTGGGTGTCCCTGAGTGTTTTAAAATGCACCAATGAATAAAATGTATTATAATTATTAATGTACCTGGCTCCTCCCACAGGGCCCGGCTGTGGCACCGCCTCCCTCTATAACAGTCCCACCTCCTCCGGCTGGCCCCTCCTACAGAGTCCAGAGAGGTTCAGGGCCCCTCCCCTCTGCACCTCCACCTGGAAACACCCCTGTGTGTTCATCAGAGGAGGACCAGGAGGACGCCAGCACTTTGGAGGACCAGGGTGAGGACGAGACACACAACTCATCATCATCATTTTCTGTCGGTAAAAGTCAACATTCTGTTTCCTGTTAAAAACCTTCCAGTGACTCAGGACTTCCTCTGGTGCTGTCTTATTGTGAAAGGTTGTGCAGGAAGTGTGATTGATGGTAACTTAGTTGTGATGTGATTTCCTGTGTGTGTTTCTGTCAGCTGAGTACACAGAGGAGTACATCTACATGACTCAGGGTGAGTATCAGTATCTGAGCATAGAGAGTGCCACCTGTTTACAGGAAGTGACTCATGTCTGACTGTCTACGGTTTTTCAGATCAAAGCTACCAGACGTCAGACATTTACACCGCTGCTGAGCCCTCCGCCAACCAGGTAACACACCTGATGCTCGTGTTTCTCCACATCTGTTGACGTCTTTAACTGAGGTCGTGATGAGTCACCAACGAGTGGCGGCTCAAACACTCCGACATATTCACCAAAATAAAAACAAACAAAGTAGAAGGTGGTAACTGCCCACTGAACATGACGTGCTTAAGTGTAGCTGTGATGATCGGGTCACATGATCGGTGTTGTTATGAAACTCAGGACATAAATGTTTTGTTTTATTGTGAAAGGACGAGCAGGAAGGAGAAACTGCCGACTCTCCCCCGAGACCAGAGATGAACTACAGCTACACGCAGCAGGTACTCGTATGATGAATGTTTCTGGAGTAAATCTGTGAACGCAGCGGACGCCATGATGACTCAGAGGTTTCAGACAGTGAGGATGATCCTGTAAACGTCTTGTGGCAAACAGTCTGATGTCATGACAGAGCACGACGAACCCTCAGAATCACCTTCTTCACTCTGCCAATGAAGACCAGAATCATTTGGTTGACTCAGATCAGTTAAATCAGCCCCTCTGTCATTTCCCTCTCTGTCGTTGTTATGGTGACGCAGCGAGCCGTGGCATCAAAGAGCCGCATGCTCACATTTGAAATGACGTCGCTCGCTGTCTGAAAACCCCTGAATGATCATCATCATACTCATGTTCAATTTGACTTCTCATAACCTTCAGGACAGGTGTTCATCCAGGGGTCCAATCACACAGGGGGGTCAAATCACACAAGAGGGTCCAATCACACAGGACGGTCCGATCACACAAGAGGGGTCAAATCACACAAAAGGGTCCAATCACACAAGATGTTCCGATCACACAAGAGGGGTCAAATCACACAAAAGGGTCCAATCACACAAGACGGTCCGATCACACAAGAGGGGTCAAATCACACAAAAGGGTCCAATCACACAAGACGTTCCGATCACACGAGGGGTCAAATCACACAAAAGGGTCCAATCACACAAGACGGTCCGATCACACAAGGGCGTGCAGTCACACAGGGGGGGTCCAATCACACAAGAGGGGTCAAATCACACAAAAGGGTCCAATCACACAAGAGGGTCCAATCACACAGGACGGTACAATCACACAAGAGGGGTCAAATCACACAAAAGGGTCCGATCACACAGGACGGTCCGATCACACAAGGGCGTGCAGTCACACGGGGGTCCAATCACACAGAGGAGTTCAATCACACTGGGGTCCAGTCATACAGAGGTAGCCATGATTAAGTCTAATTGGCTGACTCCTCCTGTGTGTTTGTGTTTCAGGTGGTGAAGCCATTAGCAGTCATCTGCTCTTCACCCTCCTCCTCGTCCTCCTCACCCTCCTCTCCATCATCACGTGTTACTGCAGCTGCTCACCTGCCGACAACCGCACATACACAGACACGTTCAGGTACACGCACACGCACGCACACACACACACACACACCTGCTTAATGTAACAGGAAGTTGTCTGTTCTCAGTTGCTATGGCGATCCCGGCCGCCTCTCCCTGGTTGATGAATGAGTTGGGGGAGCCTCTCTGCACCATGGTAACTCCACCCCCTTACTCCTATGACCCTAACGGCAGTGATTTACCCCGAGGTCAGAGGTCAACCAATGTAAACACAGCTTGTCACTTCCTGCTGCAGCTTCCTGTCTCACTTCATGTCTTTTTATTACTGTGTTTGCAGACTGCAGAGTCCTCCAGTATTATTTCAACTTAGGAGTCCAGGTAAGAGAAGGTGTTACTTCATCTAAACTGAGGTCACCTCAGAGTCAGCTGCAGGTGTAGTCCACTCTAACCTCCGTCCCCTCCACAGTGGTACCATCAGAGCTGTTGGCAGCAGCAGCAGCAGGTGTACCCCGCCACCTCACCCGAGGCCTCCTACCCCTACCAGCACTACACTCCCTACCTGAGCCAGGAGCCCCCCCTGCATGGTAAGGCCTGATTGGCTGCTGGGTGAAGGAAAGCTGTCAGTTTATTGGAGGAGGTCTGCAGGTGTCGGCACCACCCGCCATTCAGCAGCTTCCTCAGCTGCAGTTCCTCCAACATCCACCACATACTGCTGTCATCAAATTGACTGTGTAAACTGAGGGGAGACTTTCACAATAAGACTCCCGTTATAATCACGGAGGGGAGACTTTCACAATAAGAGTCTTGATGGACAGATTCAATGAGACATAGTTAAATGCTGGTTAGTGAGGCAGATAACTAGCAGGTAGTGGGTTAGACAGGAAGTGAGACAGTGGGTACTGAGTTAATTACTTAGTGAGGTAGTTTTTAGTGATTGAGTAACTTTGTTAAATTTAGATAGTGAGGGCCAGGTGTTGTTCACCATGGTCAGAAGTAAGTTAGTTGGTTGGTTAGTTAAAGTGTGAGGTCGTTAGTTAAAGGGTGAGGTCGTTAGTTAAACGGTGAGGTCATTTGTTAAATAGTGAGGTCATTAAAGGCCGGGGTCGTTAGTTAAAAGGTGAGGTCATTGTTAAAGGTTGAGGTCGTTAGTTAAGCGGTGAGGTCGTTTGTTAAAGGGTGAGGGCGTTTGTTAAAGGGTGAGGTCGTTTGTTAAAGGGTGAGGTCGTTTGTTAAAGGGTGAGGTCGTTAGTAAAAGGGTGAGGGTGTTTGTTAAAGGGTGAGGGTGTTAGTTAAAGGGTGAGGGCGTTTGTCAAAGGGTGAGGTCGTTAGATAAAGGGTGAGATCGTTTGTTAAAGGGTGAGGTCGTTAGATAAAGGGTGAGGTCGTTAGATAAAGGGTGAGGTCATTAAAGGGTGAGGTCATTAGTTAAAGGGTGAGGTCGTTAGTTAAAGGGTGAGGTCGTTAGATAAAGGGTGAGGTCGTTAGTTAAAAGGTGAGGTTGTTAGATAAAGGGTGAGGTCGTTAGATAAAGGGCGAGGTCGTTAAAGGGTGAGTTCGTTAGATAAAGGGTGAGGTCGTTAGTTAAAAGGTGAGGTCGTTAGATAAAGGGTGAGGTCGTTTGTTAAAGGGTGAGGTCGTTAGATAAAGGGTGAGGTCGTTAGATAAAGGGTGAGGTCATTAAAGGGTGAGGTCATTAGTTAAAGGGTGAGGTCGTTAGTTAAAGGGTGAGGTCGTTAGATAAAGGGTGAGGGCGTTAGATAAAGGGTGAGGGCGTTTGTGTTAATCAGGTTAGTTGAAAAAATCCTGTCGACCTAACAGGAAGTAGAGCTTTCTGTATACTATCTGACCTTATCCTGGTCTCGGTCCTACAGGAGCTCCACCTTCATACTCTGAGACAAGTCGAGGCCCCCATCAGCCCCCCCCTTCTTACCCAGAATCCACCAGGCCAGGAGATGGACAGACAGACGGACACAGCAGTGGTCAGTACTGATGAACGGCTCAACCACAGATGATCTTTTCTTTATTTCACACCTTGATGTTCTTTGTTGAAACCTGTGTGTGGTGCAGCAGGGACGATCGTCGGGCTGCAGACGTCTGGTGACGTTATGTTAAAGTTATACGATGGTTGGAGGGACTCGTGCGTGGACGTCTGTCCTGCAGTCCGACACTTCACACACTGACTGTGAACATGCATCCGAAATCTGATCAGGGTCTTTTTTATTTTATTTTATATTTTTCTTTTTGTTCTAACAAAACATCAAAAAAACACAGGCGCTCCCCTCGCCATCATGAGGTCACCATTTTGTAAACAGTGTTGTTGCACCCACAACCTGGATCAGGGTGTGAATGTTTAGAATGGCGGCCCGCTGCCGACCATGAATGAAACTCACTGTAGCTCCTCGCTCTGTTTAAATTTGATTATGTATTTGATTAGTTTTGTCTCTTCCATCATCAGGCCCTGCCCCCTCCATGGATACACTCTCCTCCTCCATCAGCCCTGCCCCTCCAGGCTCCACCCCTTCCTCTGCTCACCTGTACCCGGATCCAACGCCACTCCCCCCTCCCCCGCTGCTGCACCTGCCATATGAAGCTCCGCCCCCTGCCACCTACCTGTCCTCCGCTCCTCCCCCTCCTCTTCCTCACTCGGCTCATCCTCACTCTGCCCACCTGACCCATCACTCCTCCTACCATGCCTGCCTCCCTCCATCTGCCCACTGGGGGCAGTTACAGACTGGAGGCCACACCACACGAGTCTGCTGCCCCGCTCCAGGCCCCGCCCATGTGGTGGGTTACATCACAGCCCCGCCCCCCCACCACGTGGCCCCACACTTCATCCCCCCCACCATCTAACACGCCTCACCTCATTAGCTTGTGGCTAACAGTTTTCTTTGTGTTCAGTGAGCAGTGCTAACAATGCTAACAGTTCCCAGCTGTCACGTCAGATTTTTGTGTTTGTTGAAGTCGTTCACAGCCAGCCAATCAGAGAGAGAGGGCGTGGTCAGTCCCTGTTTATTGATGAGGGGATATATTTGTGTTGACGTTATGTTCAAACTGGTAGTTTGTTTTTGTTCCTGGGTAAATAAAGATTGTCTTTCACCAGCAGACCTGAGGGTGGTGGTGGTGGTGGTGGTCACATGACCTTCAGTCTGATTTCATGTTTTCTGGTTAAACTGGGGTCTGGACTGAACAATGACTCTTCAGGTAAGAGCAAACGTGTGTGTGTGTGTTTGATTTTGGGTTGAACTGTCTCTTTAAGAGTGTCTCTGCATCTGTAGCGATGACATCAGCAGTCAATGATGACATCAGTAGTCGTGCACCAATATCACCGTGGAAACCAGAAACAACACAGCAACACAAAACCTGGGCCCTATTTCAGAGAGCAGGATCAATGAAACTCTGAGTTTGTTCAGCCTGAGATGAAACTCTGACTTTTCCGTTTCACAAAGCCAAATCAGTGTAACCCTGAGTCAGTTACTATGGTAACATACTCTGTGAAGCTAACCTGCTGAGTCACAGGTTTGCTTCATGTCAGCCTGAGGCTGAGCGTGTAGCAGGAAGTAGAAACATGGTGTGTCCTTTAGTGAATGAAGTGGTGGAGGTTGAGGCCCAGTGTATTCAGAGGCTGTTGTGTAAGGAGAAGGTGTTTAGAGCCTGTTTGGATGTCTCCCTGGAGGAGTGTCTATATGAAAGATACTGTTTGACCTCACACTCTATCATTTATCTAACAATCTGTTCCACCCACATATATCACATATTACACATCCTGGATTTACATTATCATCACAGCACATTTTATGCATTGTCCTTTGATTCTTTTCTTTATAACATCAGAGACACTGAACACATCAGAGAGACAGCGGTTTGTCGGCCCGTAAGAAAAGTGTCTCTGGCTCTGAAAAGACTTTGGACCCTTGTTGTGGTTTTCCCTGGTCATAAATCACAATCCATTATTAAAGTAATTACCACGGAGCATCGGTGGCTCAGTGGATGGAGCGGACGCCCCGTGATCAGACGCAGCTGTCGCGGGTTCAAACCCAGCCTGCAGCCTTTGTGTTTGATGTCACATGACTTAATGTCACCACGATCACATGACTTAATGTCACCACGGTCAGTCAGTCAGTTCAACCATCTGAGTTTTTAATGGTCTGGGTAACACGTGTTACCCAGACCATTAAAAACGTTTAAACTGTGCTTTTGACTTGAAAAACAGAAGATTCAGTAAATCCATCATGGTATATTTGAATATTTACATGTTATTAGAATCAATAAACCTTGGACTGTTTCAGTGTCTTGGGGTCAAACCACACACTGACTGCACAACAAAGACAAAAACGTCCGGACTTCACCGCACTTGCAGACTTGTGGACTTTGTGTGCGCATTCTTAGGAAGTCTGGAAGCACTGAGGGCCCCAAATCCACAATTCATCCAGGCCACAGGGGCCCAAAGTGCACTGTCTGCCTACTTCACTGATTTAATTACCCAGAATTCATTGCCATAGTGACTACAACATGACACCCGTGTTACTGTAGAATATTAAGACTTTACTTGAGTCATGTCGGTCAGAAATAACATTCAACATGATGAGATACAGGTGACAGAGTGTGTTACTGCAGCCTGATGATGAGGGGACACGATATGACAGTAGTTACACTGATTGTAACAGTCGCTCGAAGGTTTCCATGGCAACAAATAAACAGTCTTGATGGCTGTCGATCAACGGCTGGCAGTCTCCGCACTGAGAGTTGACGTGATGACAAAGAACAGTACGTATGACTGAGGTCCGCTGGTCCACACGGAGGACGTTTGGATTGACTTCAAGCCGAGGGAACAGGAAGTGCTAACATGCTAACTTCTTCCTGCAGCACAGAAACATCAGCGTCTGATGCAGAGCTCTGTGTGACCTGTGAGTGAGCGTCGTCATGGTAACAGCTCAGCTGGGATGTCCACGGTCCAGAGGTCCCGACCCCCCCGGACACTCAGAGGTTCCTTCAGCCAGCGAGGGTTGGACAGGTGAGTCAGGTGTTTCTCCTGAAGACCAATCAGAACAGCCGAGCGCTCCATGCACTGTAGCTCCTCCCCCTGCAGGGAGGCGGGGCACAGCCATGTCCCTCCCACATCCACCAATCCTGAAAGAGGTTTACACATGTGATGCCTTCAGGTGCATCTCGTAGACTATGAGGATTATCAGACTGACATCATTTCCCACCTGCTACCACGCCGCGGCCGAACCTCTCTCCGGACTCCAGGAGTGTTTGGATCTGAACCCGGTTCATTCCCAGCGTGCTGCTCAGCACCGCCCTCCACTCCTCCCCCTCCCAGTCCCGCTGGGCGATGTGGACCCCCAGGGTTTGGTTCTCCAGCGGGGCAAGCAGGGGCCTCCAGCGGCTCTCCACCGTCTTCACTCCGTCCAGAACCAGACCAGCGTACGGCTGCCGGAACGACAGACACCACACCTGCACCGACATGTCTCAGGAGAAAGTCCTGCTCACCTGCATCCAGAAACATGTCACATCATTAATCAGACATTTCTCATGATATTATTTCAGCTGACGGGGTGATTCATCAAACTCAACCAAAACCCCAACACACACATGTCCTGCATGAACACAAACGTGTCAGTTTCATTTATTAACACATGATCTGTCGAAGTTTATTTGATCAGCTAACACGAATCATTTCAGTCCTTTATTTACTTTTTGTATTAAAAGCATAACTAGACTAACTGATGTTATCTGCCTAGCGCCGATCGGGAGACAAGTTGTTTCTGACACTTGATTTGTTCAACAGCTCAAATATATTTATGCGTTTTTACAGGAAACACTAATGTGTCTGATTTGTTAACGGAGTTTGGTGCGCGGCGGTCTCCGCCCGGGCGGGACGGGTCCTCTGCGGACACTGTCTGTCAGTGTTTTGTCAGTGTTTGCAGATACATCAAAATGTAATGACGCTAAAAATCAGTCAGACTCACGACACGCTCCAGGCTCCGCTCGGTTCTTTTTCTTCTTCTTCTTCTTCTTCTTCTTCTTCTTCTTCTTCTTCTTCGTGCAGCTCGGCGGCTCTGCTGCCCTCCACAGGTGAGGGGGGTTACCTGGTTATCATGGTGATAGTGACGTTCTACTGCTGTGGAAGAACGGCACTGTTAAAGAGGAAAACTTTATTTAACCTAAACTGCTGTGACAGGACGATCAGCTGATGGACAACGGCTTGGACCCACTGTCCCTGCGAGATGTCTCTGACAATCAGACATTTGTGCCTCAGTCAGATACAAACAACCGTCAGGACCGTCCTCAAACGTACATTCTTTCATGGTTATACAGGAGACAGAACGTGCTCTGTTAGCATCGTTAGCTGCTGGCTCAGTGACCTCCATGTTGAGAGCTTTGTGCACACAATCACAGAGTGCAGGTACAGAGGTGTCGCACCTTTTAATCATCAAAGGTAGAAACAGCGCCGACCTGATGTTTGTGTTAAAGGGACAGACGACAGGACGGATCATGGACAGTACAGGAGGGACATCTTGACACGTTCTATGTGCAACCCACTGTGGGAGATTTAAGAAGAGGCTACCAGTTTGCGGCTAACTCAAAAAAGACGAACAGCAGCTGTTAGCAGATAGCGGCTAACTCAAAGAACAGCAGCTGTTAGCAGATAGCGGCTAACTCAAAGAAGAAGAACAGTCGCAGTTAGCAGCTAACCCAAAGAAGAAGAGCAGCAGTTGTTAGCGGCTAACTCAAAGAACAGCAGCAGCTGTTAGCAGATAGCAGCTAACTCAAAGAACAGCAGCAGCTGTTAGCAGATAGCGGCTAACTCAAACAACAGCAGCAGTTAGCAGCTAACTCAAAGAAGAACAGCAGCTGTTAGCAGATAGCGGCTAACTCAAACAACAGCAGCAGTTAGCAGCTAACTCAAAGAAGAACAGCAGCTGTTAGCAGCTAACTCAAAGAAGAAGAGCAGCAGCTGTTAGGAGTTAGCAGCTAAGTCCATGTTTTTTTCTAAACTGAACCAGGTGTGTTTGGTGACGTCCCGGCGTTGGTTGTGGTGTCCTGGCGCAGGAGGATACTGAGAGCGTAGTATGTAGACGTGGATGTCCACTGAGGAAGTGGCAGTATGTGAGGAGTTGGAATGAGAACGTGTTGATGTCATGTGTCACACTAGAGGCTGACGTTGTTGTGTTACATGCCATGCCTCTTTAAATTCTGTGATGTCATCATGTTTTCTGTAATCACTTCCTGGAGCGACGTGATGTCATTGTTATTTGGTTTTGTGTAAAATACAGAAGCGACTGTTGCGTTTTTAAAAGGCGCTGATGATTTGCTCAAAAAACAACAAACAGGAAGAAATGTGTCAATAAAGTTTAATTATTTTTATTGAAATCCATCAACTCAAATCAAACATGACGTGTGATGTCAGTAAAGTTTTCTCTTCAGTTTTATAAGTCGTCACGTTTTCCACCAACATGCAGAATCACAGCACAGATCAATAAATCAATATATCAATACAACCAATTACAGAAGCTACAGGACAGGAAGTGGTTTACATCATCAGCCGCACCCAACATCATACAAATGGACTGCAGTTTTTACTTCACTGGATGATGTCATCATTTTACTGCTTCCTGTTAACACAGATGATGTCACAACTTCACACGCCACATGCTGCACAACGACGACACGATGTCACACAAAGAGAATCATGGGACACCAGACGGCGCTGACTGAGGAGGAAGTAATCATTAGAACGCGAAGCAGCATGTGATTGACAGAGCGTCTCGCCGATGTTCATGGTTACCATAGCAACTAATGAGTCAGAGGCTGGAATCAGCGAAGAAGAAACACGTCCAAAGAAAATATTTACACTTGAACAAACCGCTGCCGTCAGATGATCCACTAAAATCTGAAAAGTCAGAGGACTGAAAACAAAATAAGAAAATCATGAAGATTAGAAGTTTGACAGAGAAACAGCTGATCTGAGCATGAAGAAGAAAAACAACCAGGAACAGAAGAAGTGATGTCAATGACGTGTGGGAGGAGTCACATCAAACTATAACCCATCAGATCTCTGCTGTGTCACCTGTCACTGTTAACTCCTCCCACCTGATTAAAAACACGCCTGAGGTGATGTCAACTATTTTTTATCTACGTGTTTGTTAGTTTTCCTCGTTATTGGACATAAACTGATCATAGCTCCCGTTGGCTCCGTGATATCTGACACAGAGTGGTCTCCTCTGGTCTGAATCAGGGACTCATGTTGTTCCAAAGTTGTATAATTGCCTAGAGTTGGTTCGTGTTCTCACGGCAGCATTTACAAGAGGACCAGATCAAATGCCTTGTGTGAGAAAGCTGCTCTTGATTGGTCAGAATTTCCATGTGGGAAAAATCCAGGAAGTAAAGCAAACGTTGAAGAAGAGTACACTTGCAAGATAAATGTGACACTTTCTAATGTCACAATGGAGGGACAACTACGCAGGTTGATTTTAGCGCTGCTCATCGTGGACTATATTGCTGTCATTGTTCATTTTAGTCAAACCATACAGTTTGAAAACGAGGCGCGGCTCCAACTAGAAAACAATGTTTTGATGCATTGGATGTGCTGAATGTGCATATTAAGGCAGTACAGGAGGAGGTGCACATTAATAATCCTCCAGGACTGTAACATGCTCATGTTTAACCCAAACAATGTGTCATGTGACTGCAGTTGCTTCACATCCAGGTCGGAACACCTTCTCACCACAAACCAACCGCACCAGAGTTCCTTTGGAACCGGACTGAGACCACCTCTTCAAGAAGGTCTCATACCCCATTTACACGTAGGAAAAACGCACATATTTTCATGTGGTTTGGCCTCTTGTTTACACGCAAAGGGAGTTTTTTTCACGGAAAACGATCATTTGTAAAAACTCCGGCCAAAGTGGAGATTTCTGAGAACGCCGTTTATGTGTTGCCGTCTAAACTGGATGAAACGGGGTTTTAGGTTCTGAAACGTAACAGCACGCGCCAGCAAATGCTTGACGTCATGTGAGTGTCCTATGTTTACACTTTGTTTGGCTACTGATCATGGATGCTGTTAAGGTGGTACTCATTTTTACGTTTGTGCAAACGCTTACGGTTACAGCCTTTTTCCACCAGATGCGTGTCGGTTGCGTCTATTCAATTCTAGTCAATGTGTGTGTTTCCACCGGCTGCGGCTGTGCTGCATTCCGGCTCCGTCTCAGCTCCGGCGCTCCGGAGCCCTCCGCAACAGATACGCAGGACTTCTATTTTTGCCGGACGCTGGAGCACAAAGCAGCAATTCAGCACAGAGCAGCTCGTGCGGGGCAGGAAGTCGTGCACACAAACAAAATAAAACATCCGGTTAATTTTCAAAATAAAATACACAGTGTTCACTGTGGATCATATTTCCCTGCACTACACTTTTAAAATTTCATAATGGGCTGAGGCAGGCCTGAAGTCAACAGGTCAGAGGTTTTCAGACGTCATTTCACCCCGTTGACACCATGGACGAGGAGATATTAAGCTGGTGGGTGTTGACGGATGGCGGAGCACGCAGCGGATAACCAGTGCTGCCGTTCTGCAACGGACACACATCCAGTGGAAATCCGGTGTATAAAGCGACATTTAGGAATAGCTCCACTTCACTGTCAGTCCACACAAACGAACCTCTCGCCATGTTTACTGTTTTGAAAGGAACAGGAAGTCACGCGTCTTATTTGTTGTTGTTGTTGTCGATTCTGATTGGCTTGCATGGCTTCATCCTTCTCCCTACACTGCCACCCATAGGTTTGGCATAGTTATGACGGCGCTCAACGGCGTATTTATCCAGGTTCATGTAAATGACAACATTTTTGAAAACGATGTTGTATGCATGATGTTATTATTGAAAACGGAGGGGGGGAAATATTCGTTTCTCTAAATACCCGGCTATGTGTAAACGTGGTCTCAGTCTGGTTGGTTTGGTGTGTTCACACCTGCACAAATGAACCGAACTGAGGGGACAAACCAACCTCAGTTTGATTGAACCGAACCAAACAGGACAGGTGTGAACGCAACCTGCCGTTACATCTGATCCCTGAAGAGATGGAGCAGTCATCACTGATCACACTGTGATTAGAACAACATCACTTCATTAATGGTTCTAATCATTGATCTGTCAGTTTGATAAATATCTGAAACCCAGGAGTGAGGGTGTGCCTCATGTCTCACAGTCTGCCTCGGTCATTTACCTTTGTACTAACGTTAGCTAGCTGCACCAGGCAGTAACATCTGTCATCACTCACCAACACCACAGCTGTCTGTCTTGTTTCTTCATCTTCATCAGGATTATTGATTATTGATTACTGATGTTTTAGGGTCAAATTAATGTAGGTCGCCTGCTGGCTATCGTTAACTAAACAAAGTGCAGATGCTAACTTAGTTCATGAACAAACAAAGTAAAAGTATCAGTAAGTGATGAAGGTCCTAGCGCCACCCCCTGACAATAATAGTAAACATGTAACGTTAGCACTCCTGAATGTTATTAAATATCATTACCAGTTTAAAGTTGGTTAGTTATTGATAACCTAACACATGTAGCCGCTAACAGCAGGTAGCATTTAGCTATCTAGAGACACAATCTGTTTGGACTCCTGTAACGAGGTAAACAAACAAACACGTCTAGATAAAATCTGAATCTGGTGGGAGGATTTTTCAGTCAAAGGTGAAACAACAAAGATACGATGGGTTATAGTTTGATTTGACCCCCAATAATACCTACGGCCCATTCTCATTCTGAAGTCATCAAATACCGGCTCTTTGTCAGTGAGCTAAGCCTCAGACACTGACACCAAAAGCAACCTGTCGCAGTGGTGTGATATGCCACAGGATGGCGTCAGTTTGAAACACTGCCAGTGACGACATGATATAAGGAGCTGAACGGTCGCTATAGAGCAGGCGGGAGGGGAAGTGGACAGGTCCAACAAACACTGGACTTTGGCTTGGGAGCTGGTCACTTCCTGTATGAACATAGAGCCAAAGTATGTTTTTTTCGAAACCATGTGTTTTTGTTGATGTCCACGGCGTTGGTTTCAGCGTCCCGCAACGTCAACAGCAGACGCAGGAAGACACCTAGAACGTGATACGTAGAGATGACAGTCCTCTGACAAAGCGGCGATGTGTGATGAGTTGAATGTTGGGACTAAAGTCTGGCTCAAATGCTAAATTCAAATGTCGTCAGTGACGTCATGACTTTTCCTTCCTTTATAGTTTCCTTGAAAACAACCAGGAAACAGAGTTTAATCATCTCAACAGATTTACAGCTGCCTGATGCCTTGTTAATGTCTTGTCTTTAGCGTCTTGTCATTAGTGTCCTCATTAGCACTGACAGCCTGCTGCTCAGAGTTCATCGATTCTTCATCTGAGTCCATTTCAAGGTTCCTTATCAAATATTTCCAGTGCAGCTGTTCGGAGGTGACATCTGTGTTGGCGTTAGCGCCCCCTGCGGGCTGCAGAGGTCTGTTCCCTCAGTCTGAGCAGTTTGTCCTGCAGGTGGAGCTAACAGGAAGATGATGGAGTCATTAACATCTACGGGGTTCATCCTCTGAGGAGCAGGAAGCAGATCAGGAAATTTCAGAACTTTTTGTCAAAGAATAATTATGACATCTGCTGTCCGTCAGCTGAGGTAACTGTACGTGATATTTCTCTGCGTCCACATTCAGGCTCCGCCTCCAGCTTGTTGAACATAATATATACATTAACTGCTGATGAGAACAATAAACTAATAATATTCACTGATTCTGACAATTAAGGAACATTTTCAACTAGTGTCTGCATCGTCAAAATTTTCTCCAGACTTTGTTTTTATGTTGTTTACTTCCTGTGACAGTTTGAGGTCGTGACTAATCTGGGCTCTGTTTTTATGACGTTCTCCTCTCCTCAGTCGGACCACTCCTGGTCCTCGGGTTCAGACTCCTCCTCTGATTCGCTGTACTCTACGGCAATGCGTCGCGACAGGATGGTGGCGACATCATTTCCTGTGGGCTCTCGTTTCTTTGCTTCCTCCTGCTCACGCTGCTCCTGAACCTTCCTCAACTGGATCCCTGCAGACCAGAAGGAAACAGAACCTCAATGACAAGTTAGACCACAGCACAGTAAAGGGCTGATCACACCTACAGTTGGCGCTAGAAACGCGGATGCTTCAAAGACGCTTGAAATGCCTGAAACGCCCTTTCAATGAGCGCTCCTTACTAGGAGCACCTGTAGAGCGGGGATGTGTGCACAACCGGGTGATCAAAACATTGAAAATGGACCCAAGACAGAGCGATGGTGCTACTGGCGCCTGACGCCCCAACTTTCAGCGTCTACAAACTTGCGTCTAAAAAGACGCCAGTAAGATGCTTGTCATAAAAAATGCTTGAAAACCAGTCAGATGCGCTGTATCACAGGGAATCTTACTGGCGTCTTGTTTCTAGCACTCCTTGTAGGTGTGATCGCCCCCTAACTCTGGTTCTTTGAGTTCTGGATGACCTGCAGAGACAGGATGTAACTCTGGTTCTATGAGTTCTAGATGACCTACAGAGACAGGATGTAACTCTGGTTCTATGGGTTCTAGATGACCTACAGAGACAGGATGTAACTCTGGTTCTATGAGTTCTAGATGACCTACAGAGACAGGATGTAACTCTGGTTCTATGAGTTCTAGATGACCTACAGAGACAGGATGTAACTCTGGTTCTATGAGTTCTAGATGACCTACAGAGACAGGATGTAACTCTGGTTCTATGAGTTCTAGATGACCTACAGAGACAGGATGTAACTCTGGTTCTATGAGTTCTAGATGACCTACAGAGACAGGATGTAACTCTGGTTCTATGAGTTCTAGATGACCTACAGAGACAGGATGTAACTCTGGTTCTATGAGTTCTAGATGACCTACAGAGACAGGATGTAACTCTGGTTCTATGAGTTCTAGATGACCTACAGAGACAGGATGTAACTCTGGTTCTATGAGTTCTAGATGACCTACAGAGACAGGATGTAACTCTGGTTCTATGAGTTCTAGATGACCTACAGAGACAGGATGTAACTCTGGTTCTATGAGTTCTAGATGACCTACAGAGACAGGATGTAACTCTGGTTCTATGAGTTCTAGATGACCTACAGAGACAGGATGTAACTCTGGTTCTATGAGTTCTAGATGACCTACAGAGACAGGATGTAACTCTGGTTCTATGAGTTCTAGATGACCTACAGAGACAGGATGTAACTCTGGTTCTATGAGTTCTAGATGACCTACAGAGACAGGATGTAACTCTGGTTCTATGAGTTCTAGATGACCTACAGAGACAGGATGTAACTCTGGTTCTATGAGTTCTAGATGACCTACAGAGACAGGATGTAACTCTGGTTCTATGAGTTCTAGATGACCTACAGAGACAGGATGTAACTCTGGTTCTATGAGTTCTAGATGACCTACAGAGACAGGATGTAACTCTGGTTCTATGAGTTCTAGATGACCTACAGAGACAGGATGTAACTCTGGTTCTATGAGTTCTAGATGACCTACAGAGACAGGATGTAACTCTGGTTCTATGAGTTCTAGATGACCTACAGAGACAGGATGTAACTCTGGTTCTATGAGTTCTAGATGACCTACAGAGACAGGATGTAACTCTGGTTCTATGAGTTCTAGATGACCTACAGAGACAGGATGTAACTCTGGTTCTATGAGTTCTAGATGACCTACAGAGACAGGATGTAACTCTGGTTCTATGAGTTCTAGATGACCTACAGAGACAGGATGTAACTCTGGTTCTATGAGTTCTAGATGACCTACAGAGACAGGATGTAACTCTGGTTCTATGAGTTCTAGATGACCTACAGAGACAGGATGTAACTCTGGTTCTATGAGTTCTAGATGACCTACAGAGACAGGATGTAACTCTGGTTCTATGAGTTCTAGATGACCTACAGAGACAGGATGTAACTCTGGTTCTATGAGTTCTAGATGACCTACAGAGACAGGATGTAACTCTGGTTCTATGAGTTCTAGATGACCTACAGAGACAGGATGTAACTCTGGTTCTATGAGTTCTAGATGACCTACAGAGACAGGATGTAACTCTGGTTCTATGAGTTCTAGATGACCTACAGAGACAGGATGTAACTCTGGTTCTATGAGTTCTAGATGACCTACAGAGACAGGATGTAACTCTGGTTCTATGAGTTCTAGATGACCTACAGAGACAGGATGTAACTCTGGTTCTATGAGTTCTAGATGACCTACAGAGACAGGATGTAACTCTGGTTCTATGAGTTCTAGATGACCTACAGAGACAGGATGTAACTCTGGTTCTATGAGTTCTAGATGACCTACAGAGACAGGATGTAACTCTGGTTCTATGAGTTCTAGATGACCTACAGAGACAGGATGTAACTCTGGTTCTATGAGTTCTAGATGACCTACAGAGACAGGATGTAACTCTGGTTCTATGAGTTCTAGATGACCTACAGAGACAGGATGTAACTCTGGTTCTATGAGTTCTAGATGACCTACAGAGACAGGATGTAACTCTGGTTCTATGAGTTCTAGATGACCTACAGAGACAGGATGTAACTCTGGTTCTATGAGTTCTAGATGACCTACAGAGACAGGATGTAACTCTGGTTCTATGGGTTCTAGATGACCTACAGAGACAGGATGCAACTCTGGTTCTATGAGTTCTAGATGACCTACAGAGACTGGATGTAACTCTGGTTCTATAAGTTCTAGATTACCTACAGAGACAGGTTGTAACTCTGGTTCTATGGGTTCTAGCTGACCTACAGAGACAAGATGTAACTCTGGTTCTATGGGTTCTGGCTGACCTACAGAGACAGGATGTAACTCTGTTCTATGAGCTCTAGATGACCTACAGAGACAGGATGTAACTCTGGTTCTATGAGTTCTAGATGACCTACAGAGACAGGATGTAACTCTGGTTCTATGGGTTCTGGATGACCTACAGAGACAGGATGTAACTGTGGTTCTATGGGTTCTGGATGACCTACAGAGACAGGATGTAGCTCAGGATGTTTACAGTATAACAGCTGACCTCGGCGTATCGCAGCCAGCAGGTCACTACGGGCGTCGTTCATCGGAAAGTTTGGTCCACCTGACGGCTTCCTGCCATCTGTCGCCGGTGGCACCGGAGGTGCATTGGCCGAGGGTGGGGCCTGGCCTCCGGGGCGTGAGGGGGAGGGGGCATAGTTGGCTGGGGGGGGTGGGGGAGGGGAGGGGCTGTAGGGCCGAGAGAGGACAGCAGCGCCACCTGGAGGCGAAGACATGAAGGGACTCCAGCTGCTGCACACCAAACACACACTACAGAAAGTAACAACAAAAGAGTTAATACAACAACATGTCTGTTACCTTGGTTACCAGGAGCAGCTGCTGGATGCAGCGGTGTTGCCATGGCAGCAGTGTTGTTGGGGAATGCCATCTGTCCAGCTGATGGCATGAGAGGGGGGGGTGGTGGGGGGGCCGGAGGGATCTGATGGTCACTGAAGAGAGACCGAGGTCAAAGGTCAATCATGAGTCACATGATGAAACCGTTAACACTGTGTGTGTGTGTGTGTGTGTATGTGTGTTTGTGTGTGTGTGTGTGTGTACTTGGCCTCCTTGGCAGTATTAGGCCGTGCTCCATTCTGATTGGCTGAGCCGGCGAGTGGTGGCTGGTGGTGGTGATGATGCGGCTGGTTGCGGCCCAGTGAGTGCTGGCGCACGGTTGCTGTGGTGACTGCAGAGGATGCAGAGGCAGGTCGAAGGGCGCGGTCCAGCGACTGAGTCTGACCACTTCCACCTGTGGCCACTGTGACGTGATCCTTCCCATCATGCCCCTGGGCGTCATGGTGTTGAGCAGTGGAGAGGAAAGACGTGTCGTCTGACATCCCTGACCTGGAGGAGGGAGGATGGCGGTTAACGAGGTGTGACGGTTCAGTTCAGGTCATCAGGATTGTCCTGCTGAGGACCGACGGAACATTTCGTCAACTGTTTTTATTACAGAACATTCCAAACACTATACAAACACTGAATACACACGCTCCCATAATGCAACAGGTCTTCTTCTATGTGATCGAAAACAGAAATTATTGTTTGGTCCTTGAACACATCATGTGTCACAAACGGCGATCATGATTAGTGCTGACTGCTGATCAGAGGTCAGAGAACACTGTGGAGGAGGTCTCTGGACAGACTGTTTGAAATGTGAGCTTGATGCTCGAAGGAGCTGAAATGACCAATAAAAAACATTTTGACCCATTGGACTTTTTCCCTGACCTGTCAGAATAAGTGAAACTAAAACCAGGAGGTGACACTTCCATCAGCTGCTCCGCCGTCCTTCAGACATGTTTCTGTCAGAAACATACAAACAAGTTTATCTATGAGATCGTTAATGATAAGCGACGTATCACGGAGTGGCCGCACTTTTCAAAGGGCCATTTTGACGTGGTCACACTTTAATGTGCAGGAGGTTACGGTCGACTGGCAACAGGAAGCATATTAGAGTCTGTCCCTTGAAGTGATTGTGTCTGACAGGCAGTGAATTCTTCCTGATAAGGGAGAGTAACTAATGGGAGATCAGATGACCTCACCGTGAGTTTTGACCTGCTCTTGCTGACTGCAGACATCGATGGCACCTGAGCACAAGGGGGAGCTACTGAGCCATAGTCTGAGTAAGAATGACCTGTGTCGTGTCGCGTTTGCTGTGTAGATGTGGGACAGTTAAACAGAGGCGGCGTTAAAACCCTGTAAAATAAGTCCTGTGTTAGAGTCCCTGTCCCTGGTCTGGGATGGACATGTCTCTCAGATTAGAGAACGGATGACTCCAGAGCGTTAAAATTGTAAAGGAAACTGGTGTCTTCGGCAGACGGATTGGAGCCACAAACTGAAGGGAGGAGCCCGGTTAAAATCCTGCTTTAGTATTTGGGATGTCTGGTCAGAAGTGTCATCACAGCCCACATGGATTCTAACATTCCCAACACAGGGATTTCTCCAGGAGGCCTTGATTTTAGCCACCTTAGCACCTTGGAAACAGCTGATCGTCTTCTGATGTGCCTCACAATTGAGTCACTGATGACCAGGGGGTTGGGGGAGCAGCTGGTGAGCAGATGGATGAGGATGGTCCGAGGAGCGAGGACCAGGGCCCACCATAGCCCAAGTGAAGTTAATCTTCAGCAGGAAGTAGAGCCCCTTGGAGCCGGAGTGTAAATTGGCTTTGATTGCAGGGCGTGGGCTGAGGGGGCAGCCCAGGAGAGTTTGCTGGGTAGGCTGTGGGGGATGTGGAGCCCCTGGACCCATGTGGCATCATGGGTGGTGGAGGAGACTGTGGACTCTTAGTCAATGGAGGGAAGTCGTGTTCATCAAGGATATCGTACCAATTCTCCAGCTGGATATTGCAGGCTGAGGGACTGCAAATAGGAAGTCCACCCTTCCTTTTGTGTTCACCGACCACAGTCCAGGACTCCGGAGTGGAGTTGACTGGAGCTTTGGGTTTAGCTCCAAGCCTGACCCAGCGTTCCTCAGAGCCGACAGCTGGAGCAGGAACAGGAGCAGCAGCGGCTGAGGCGGCGACAGCAGAGTGGAGAATAGTGGAGTCCAACCCTCCACTATCAATGGCGATGGTTTGTGCCAGGCCGAACATGATGGTGTCTGAAGATTGTTTTTTTATTAAATAACGATCCCATTGTGACTAAAAGCACACATCCAGTGAAACGTAGAGTCAAAACACTGAGGATCTAAAGTTACAGCAGAGCTCTCTGCGACACAGCAACAGACACCTGACACCATTTATCAATCAATCAATTTTATTTATAAAGCCCAATATCACAAATCACAGTTTGCCTCACAGGGCTTTACAGCATACTACATCCCTCTGTCCTTATGACCCTCACAGCTGATCAGGAAAAACTCCCCAAAAAAACCTTTAACAGGGAAGCCCTGTGAGGCAAACTGTGATTTGTGATATTGGGCTTTATAAATAAAATTGACTGATTGATTGATTGATTGAAATATAAATATTACTCAGGAAGCTGTTAAAGCCAATTCACCTGTCAGGTGACATTGAACCGTCTGAGGTGTGGTAAGGTGATGGTGTCACTCGAGCGTCTGGACGGAGCTCCTTGTCGTACGCCATCAGGTTCCACTCCTGCCGCCTGTTCCGAGCTTTCCGAACCTTCACAGGAAGAACGACAAGTTTGTTAACGATGAATTCTGAATGACAGAAACTCGAGAACGATGACACTCACCTTCTTCACCTCCCGTCCTGAAGACTCCTCCACATGCTTCTGCTCCTACACACAAAAACACGCTGTTTCAGGCAGGAAGTGATGTAAGGAAACACTCAGAGAGACAGAGACAGACAGAGACAGACGGAGACACAGACAGAGACTAGGGCTGTCCCGAATACCATTTTTTATTGTATTTGAATATTCGTTCACGGGGGGGGGGGTTCGGACCTAATTGTATTGCGGAGTTTTGCACAGAGGCGACCAGATCTTTGCTCTCAAACCACAACAAATGTGATCACACAACAGTCTCCTTCAGTACATTATTCTATGCTTTCTTTTGATTTTCACATTGGCTAGTGTAGAGGCAAAAATCGGTGCCTGGAATTGGGCCTGTAGGCTCCCGACCTTGTCCTCCACTTGACTTCTCAGTTGTCCTCTGACGTCATTCTGGTACCTTGGATTCAGCTAAGTATACTCAAAGAAAACACTGGAGACAGGCAGAGTCCGATGCAGTCGAGTTTAATGTGTTCAATTTGTTTAATTTGTCTTCTGATTAAATCGGAACCGTTGAAACAAGTTGTAGGAAGCCTCTGCGAGTAATTGGTTGCTGGCAGACACTCTGTGCTGCAATAAAATGGTTAATCAGCAGTGCCGTGCACTGTAGAGCCGATGCGCTGCTGGTTCTGCCGGCCTGAATAGAATATAATGTCTATAGCCTTACTGTTGTGTACAGCCTTATAGACTGAGCTGAGTAGTGATG